CTGATGAACACATGGGAACAGATTCTGCTTTTAAATTATGGTGCTGGAAAAGCAGACCAACTTCCACAGGCTACAATAAATTTAGTACAGATTCATATTATGGTAACAGAACAGAAAGTGACCTTTGGCTTCTACAACACCATTTTCCCAATTTGTATTCATCTGGTAAGTTAGTTACTTGTAACTATGGTAGCAGATTATATAGGAAACTTTATTAACAAGTAGGGCTTAGATTATAAACGTTCACAGTTCAAGAAACTAAATATTATTCCCCATGAAACCCTAACATGGGCTTTTTACTATCCTTTTAACATGCAGAAGCAAAAGGTATTTCGATTCTTCAGCAACAGTATTTTCCTGACTCCTGTATCTCCTTAAAACATCATGTAATATATGTGATGAACAACTACTTGTTCTGCAAGCAAATAAATGAAAAGCAGAATATTTCTTTACTATGAAGGAACAAATTAAACAAAGGGGAAAGTGTCACTGAAAAACTACCTCCAAAATAATGAAATATGCTTGTATATCATTTTGTGTAATACATAGTTCTTTCTAAACAGACTGTATTTAGTGCAATTTTTACCCAAAGTTAAACCCACAAAATGTAACTAAGATCAGGTCCAGAAAACAAAGACAAAAATCCTGAGTCAGACGAAAGTCAAATTCTAATTTCATTCTTTGACAATGTATGAGAATTATTTACATGCAAGCAAGCATACCTAAAGGCTTCATTACAAGAACGAAACCAAACTGGACACTATAGTAGGCAGTGTCCAGGATATTTTGAATACATGGCTAGTAATTAACACTATATGTGATAAGGGAGAGAGTATTAGAGACAGACCACAGAAAAAAAATATCTAAAATAAAATAAAATCAAGACTAAGCCAGTAAAAACCTAAGCAAACATCTGAATTATGTAGCAACTGTTGGAAAATGCTCAGTGTGTTGCAGTAGAGAACTGATGACAATGCATTCCTAGTAAATTCAAGCAAAAATATTTCTCACAATGACAAAATTGGAAGAGAATAGACTGACTGGCAGACATCGCTTTTAGCCTAATTTTATTGTATTTTCTAATTATACAAAATTATATATTATATAAAAGGCATAAGAAAAAAAATATGGAAAGTAAGCAGCTATACCAAATAGCCTGTCATTTCCTTTTTCATAAATTGCTATATCTAATCACCTTTCTTCTAAATTATTATTTCCAACTGAAGAGCAGTTAAATGAGAATCTTATATAATTTATGAGTTATTACTAAAAGTGATGCATTAGGGCTCCTGGGAATTAGGTAGTATTAAGAGATGTTAGAATTATATTTCTTGCATAGAGATTTAAGAGAGAGCTTTACGAGTTGCGTCCTTTGCCAAAAACATTAGCATTCAAGTTAAACTCTCACTAGCATGCTTAGCTCATTAAGATTGCCTTTTTTTAAGTGCACATAATGCTAGGAGCAAAACACAAGTCTGGACTCATAAACTGCATGAACATCACCGCTGTCATTTTGTTACCCACGTCTTCCCTTTACCTTAAAGCTTCACATAGACCAGCTCCACATATCTTTATTCTTTTCTCTTCTCTTCAGTCACACGCCTCTCTAATCCTTCAGACAGCCCACAAATCTCACCTTGCAACTTTCCTTGTTTTCATTTCCGTATTTTTTACTTTGCTGCCCAAACTGTTTTGAGTGCCCTCAGCACTCACACTGCACACCAGGTACTACATGACCCATTCACACCCCTCCTGGGGATTCACTGGTGTGGGCTGGATACAAGAAATAAAGCCTCAGAAATAATAAACTACTAGCAAAACCAGATCTCTCTGAAGCAGCATCATCCTCTAAAGTTTCATAGGGACTCCTTGCCTGTGTTTTAGTACAGACTACAGATCCCTTAGGGCAAGAACCAAGTAATTTATGACATAATTAAAAAACCAACAGCATTATACTAATTCATTCTTCAAAGAGACGTCCTGAGATAATGGTACATATCACTCATCTAAATCTGCAAACAATATGCTATCTATCAAAAATAGGTAACTGTCAGTTAAGGTAATTTCCCAGTACCACACAGGCAGGTCACTCAGTCATCTGGTCCATTCACATCTGTGTTTCACAAAATCAACATAGTCGGGGCAGTTTAAGCATCTAATTTACATGCATTTCAGGTAATCCTGTTGGTATTTTCTTTAAATACTTCTAGTATCTGTTTTCACCCACCACAGAGTGCAGCAGACAGAGACTTCAGAAGTTAGCATCCCAGTTTGCATGGTGGCAGATGAAAAGCAGGCCCTAAGAGTCTGCTTCAGACAACACGGGATTGCGTCACAACCATGGGGGGGGCACTACAAGGCTCCATCCCCGGCACCCGCTGGAGGAGACACCCCGGGAAATCAGAGGCCTCAACCAAGCCAGAGTTCAGATCATCAGGGTCTGAAGGATGGTGGTTAACGGTTTGTACTCTAACCTGGGGGCTGATTACAAGTGAAGTACCACAGAGGCCCATCAGACTTCTCCAACTTAGCATCTTTACCAATGCCAAGGATGAGGAGTAGAACACCCCCCCATCAAGTTGTGGATATGGAAAAACTGGGGAAATGGTTGATACTCTTGAGGGTAGAGCTGCCATTCAGAGGGAACTAGACAGGCAGAAGGAATGGGCCACAGGAAACTCATTAAATTCAATGAGGACAAATACAAAGTCCAGCACCCATGATGGACTAACCCCCTGCAATGGTTCAGGTGGGGGGATTGACTGGCTGGAGAACATCTCTGCAGAAAAGAATGTGGGGGTTCCAGTGGACATCAGGCAAAAAATGAGCCAGCAGTGTACCCTGGTAGTGATGAAGGCTAACAGCATCAATAGGATGTACTGGCTGTATCAACAGGAGCACAGCCAGTAGATTGAGAGAAGTGATTACTCCCCTTTACTTAGCACTTGTTGGACCACATTCAGGCCATGCTGGGGACCTGAATACAAGACAGACTTTGATAACCTGGAGCAAGTTCAGTGGAAAGCCACCAGAATGGTCAGAAGCTGGAGAACCTGCTCTGGGAGAGAAGGGAGGGACACAGGCTTGCTGAGACTGAAGAAGAACCTATGAGCAGCCTCCCCAGTACCTACAGAGGGGTGACCGAGACGATGAAGCCAGGCTCTTTACAGTGGTATTTGACAGGAGAATGAGAGATTACATGCATAAACTGAAACAAGAAGTTCTGACTAGGTATAAGGAAAAAATTCTTCACTATGAGGATGATTTAGCACTGGAACAGATTATTCAGAGAGAGTATGGAATCTTTGTTCTAAGCAGTTTTCAAGACCTGGCTGGACAAATCCCTCAGCAGCCTGGTCTGAATTAGGAGTGGACCCTGCTTTGAATAGGAAGATGGACAAGAGACCTGCCAAGGTCCCTTTCAACCTGACTGAATCTATCTGCAATTAGTATTTTACTTTGGACCAGGAGTTTGCTTTTGAAATGGATCAGATTGTCCACACCTATGACTCTTCAGCTTGTGCTGCAGAGTTCTCTCAGAGTATACAAAATAAATTCCTTTGGGATGAAATTAAACCAAAAGGTGTGCATCAGCCGCTAACGAGCAGCAGTCCATTGGACCAGACCAGAGAAAGCCCAAAGTACTCCTCTTTATCCAAAATTATCTGTATAATGTGTATGCTAGGTATCCAGCACCACTTTGCTTTATGGATGCACTTCTATTGCACCACACTACTTGCTAATGTAGACATTGTCATCTGAAGAGTTACGTTTTTCCATTTCAGCAAATGAAAAGGAACACTAGCATATAAACCCCCTACTTTGTGGCTTTTTGATGCTGACAAACTTTGTCCAAGGGTAGAAATTACCTGCCTGCAAGACTGAACATACATATTCTCACTGGAGCTATGCAGAAGTCTTTTTGCCCTTCCTAGCAGTTCCTGCACATTCAAGGCAAGATCAACAAAGCAAGCAGTGTTTTGCCCAGCTCAGGTCCTTCTGCACTGGAGGATTCCAAATGGGAGAGAAGAGCAATAATGAAGCATGAAGTGCAAGTCCACATCAAAGTCAGGTGACGGTTCACTGATTTTTTTTTTTAAACCTTTTGCTGCATATGATAGTTTGATTAGCAGGAGTTATTTGAAAAAGCCAGGCTGTGAGACTTAATTAAAAGTGTTGGTCCACCCAACTGAACATTCAACAGAGATGCTAAGTATAACAGTGTTTTGTAACTCTCTGAACAAAAACCCACATAGCATCTCTGAAAACTTCTGTAACAGGAAAATGCCTGCAACCCCCAAGAAAGCCACCTCTGTACACATAGGAACAATTTAACCCCATTAACAGAGGGACACCATTTCCTTTGCAGTTCTCTTCAATACATAAACTAATCATGAAGACAGGATACCTCTCCTGTGCATCTTGGTGTTTTTATTCTCTAAACAGCTAGGCACCAAGGCTGATTGTGTTTATGGAACTTACTAAGAGGGAAGGAAGACAAGAGCCTGCCCACCAGCATTTCCTGAACATGGAGCTTCATAAGTTGTCAGGAGTGAATGATGTGCAGACGGTATACAGCGCAGGAGACCATCCTTCTCCTTATCAAGCCACACACTTCATAAAAGCATCTGAACATGAAGCACCCTAGAATAACGCTACTTTAACAACCATAATGCTTTCCCTTTTGAAGGTTTGCAAGATTTCTGAGCCCATATCAACAAACCATATAAACCAATGCAAAGAATATTTTTGTTTTAAAAACAAACCAGAACAAACAACACATTTAAAATGTCTAACATTAACCTTAACTCACATTGAAAAATAAAAGCACAGTCCTCAGAAAGTTTCAATCTGGATTAATCTTTTATGGACTGGATCATACTCTATCTGCTGCTACTTCAGGAAAAAAACCTAGCTGGTCAGTTGATCATCATACCTACTATAAGGCTACCCTCCTTTACAAAACTGAAAGGTAAACTTCTTTCTTACACAGGACTCACCAATGGCCTTTGTGTAATGTCTGGCTCCAAGTAACAGCTCTGGAGCTCTGTACCAGAATGTCACCACAACTGGATCCAAGTCTGCCAATGGCTTCAAAGGTGAGTTGAACAATCTTGCAAACCCCATATCAGCTGGGGGGAAACAAAAAAGGAAAAAAAAAAAGAACATTTAAAATTTTAATACAAATAAATCAGAATTTAACAGTATTGCCAAAAAGCAATTATAACAAAAGCTCAAAAACATTAAAACTTACAAATCAAAGTTTCTAAGAAAGCAGCAAGTTACTCATAACTGGGCCAAATTTATCTAAGGCTAAATTCCATTTACTTCATTTATTTATTTCATTTAGGTTGGAAAAGACCTTTAAGATCATCCAGTCC